AAGGGAATAAAGAAAGAAGCAAGGAAAAGAGAAGAGAAAAAGAGAGAATTTAGAAAGAGATAAGAAGAAGACAATACAATTTCATCAATATTATAAGTTGAGTACAATTAAAATGTGTGAGAAAAAGAAATATTTATAGAGCTTCACTCTAACTCTAAAATTATTGATAGAAAATTCAAATTAAGGAATTTATTACGCTAATGGTAAAATATTTAAATCAAAATTAAAGTAAATAAAATAATTCAGTATTATTAAATAAGAATAATTAACATTAAACAAGATACTCTTCAAATCGCCTTGAAATCTTGTTCTTTCATTTCTAACTCCCATTAGGGGGACCGAGCTTTTGAAGAAGAATGACGAGGATGTGCTTAATCTTATGACTACGATGGACGAAAAGCATTTTTGTGGGAATGATTGAGGTACCGATGAATAATGGAGAGGGAGCCATTGGTTCAATTGAGAACAAAAATAACACTAAATAAGTCATTTTATGTAACATTGATTATTGCCAATATATATATCAACGTTATTACAAATAACATCTTCACTCAGTTCAGCAGCTACAAATGACTTTTTAAGTCAATAATTCAGCATTTCACAGAGACTTTGATGATAACATTTTTTTCCTCAAAGCTCCGATACATAAGGCTTGCAACAATAACAAAATTACCCGTTCATCAACCCTATATATATATATATATAATATATATTCAAATAATGTTAATATTCACCAATACATATAATCAAAGTATCCACAAAAAGAGATCTTGTTAGATCAAACCAAGCAAAGAGATCCATACATCAAGATAATATATGTATATATATATCAGCAATTTTCAAACCTACTACAATAAAAAGAAAAGTAGCTCATACGTTAATAGCCTTCTCCTCAATAAAGAGCAAACACATCCAAGTGTGTTACTGAACTATATATATATATAATAGGCTTTTGTTCCTCAAGAATACAACATTTTGCCTGGCTTCAGCCTGTGTGCCATAGCTGAGACATTACGAATTAATGGATCAAAGTGACATGAAAAGAGGTAGAGATGAAACAATCATGGAGTATATGTTCACCTTATAGACTGTGTATCCTCAGTTGGATTCACCATTCTTGTGTGCATATTCTGATGATCTGGGATAGTCTCTGAATCCCTAGCCATGGCAGGATAAGAAGAAGAAGAAGAGAAACTTTTGGTGAATGCAGAGAAGAAGGAGAAGGTCAGCGAATTAATGGCTTTTGGAAATTAGTGAGTGCAGGCTTCTATTTATGACTTGCATTATTATTAATAATGGATAACTGGATCTCACCACTTTTTGGTTTTTGTGATCTTTGCTTACTCGTAGCCAAACAAGTAATAATGTATTTGTATAAGTGGGAATCCTTCGTTTTCTTTCTTTCTTTGCACTATAATTATATTCATTTGCATTTAAGAGAAAGAATTACTGAAGGACTAAAAATAAATATTGACCAGAAGATTTAAATCCATGTTGAAACATTGCAGACAATCAAAACAAGTCCCTTGATTATATTATATATATATATATATATATATATATATAAATGGGGTTTATTGTTTAAAGGGATTAGCACGCCTTTCAAAGCTTGGTTGTGAAATGCGAGAAACTGATGCGGATTTGCAAAACATATCAGTTTAGAAGAGTTTTAAGATGATTGAAATTTTGATTGACTTTGAAAATACAAATGGAAATAATTTAATTAGAATTAGCCTAAAGTTAAATTTGCATTTTATTTCAAAGATAAAAGTGATCATAAATCTCTACCTATAGAGTGTAACTAGATTATTTGCTAGACTTAGATTAATATATATCAATAAAAAATGATAAATTTCTTTATTTAAAGTTTGAATTAATATATGATACGGAACTCACTTTATGGCTTAAGGGGGTGTTTGGCAATATGAAAACCATGGTTCAGAAGCACTTTTCCGCAAAACGAGGCAAACTCCTCCACGTTTACTTCGTAAACCGTAAAACACTCTCTGAAACCATGGTTTGGTTTCTATCCAAACACCCCCTAAGAAAGATATCCCATATAAATATATTGACTCAAAACTATATAACTCAAATCTTAAGAAAAATCTCGCTCCTCTTTTTATTATAATCTAGGTACATTGATCAAGACTACCTTATTGAGATCAGACACTACACTAACATAAGTACTCCTAAATATGCAAATTAAATGTCATGCTATTTCCTCCAATTAATCTCAACATTCGAGCAAGTGGGTGTGAAAATGTCAACTAGGGTTTCATTTGGAGGAAGACGGCAACAAATGGGGCACTTATTTGTTTCACCATATTGTATTCTTAAATGGGGTAGCAGCTGTGGTCAAAACATAATCACTATGCCAAGCATATACTGTTTTCTTTTTTGTATCTATTCTTTTGTTCATGGGAATCTCCCATAGTGTGTATATATTATTCATTTAACGAGAATTAATTTTTTTTGAAAATCCACATGAAAACAACAAAGTGAAGAGTAGGCAATGACAAGTTTTAGAATAGAAAATAATAACAAATTCAGGCTGATCACTTGTCATTGAAATTTTTTAATAATTAAATTTCTTTTTTTGGACTTCTTGGCAATTCTCCCCACTATTTATGACCATCACTCTATGAACTGTGCATTTTTTTAATTGATATGTGTAATATTGTTTTATGTAGGAAAAATTCTCTCAAAGAAGTGACTGTTGAATTTAAAAATTCTAAATAAAAATTCTTATAAAATGTGTTGTCATTTTCTTTACAAGTATGATAACCAATATTGATTTGAAATTTTGAAACTCAACAGTCATTTTCTTTTTAGAGATTTTCAGTTTTATGTAACTGTACCAACAATCATAATTATTTTCCGGACTTATTTATAAGAAATAAGTTGTAATTTTTTTTTACCAGGGAAAAATAAGAAACAACTTATTTTAACTACAACTTGTTTCTTAGTAATTCTAACTACAGCTTGTTTGTTATATATAGGCATAAATATATTCTTCCAATCCTAAATATTAGAGTGAGTTAAAGATTTGTTTTGATTCTTAATGTAAGATATTAATTCACTTTATTTTTCAAATTTATATTTTTTTTCAAATTATCGATATTGGTTACAAATATTAAATGGGGTTTTATCCATAATAATAGTTTCAATTTAAATAATTAAAGGGAGTGTTTTAGGAGTAACATACACTTTTTTTTTACAAATAATTAATTTAACTAATTTTTTTAATATTTATAAATTAATTATTTATTTTTATATTTAGTACCGAAAGGAGTAGTACTTAATAGTGCGTTTGTTAGAGTTGAAAAGATGGCTAGGAATCAAAGGAGAAAATAAGAAAAGTTAAATTACCTTATTAGATATGCACTAATTGATTTCACTCTCAAATATTTTCCAACCAACCCAATGGGATTTGCCTTTTATTGGAAGATGGATGAAACCGAGACTTGCGTTCTGGAAATCAAATGAGAATTATCACTTTTGTCCTATAGCACCATCAAAATTATTTTGTCAATCTTTTCAACATGAGAAATGTTGATCTTTCTCTCAACTCTTGTTTTTATTTCTTTATTGTTTTAATCGAGTCAAATACAGAATAAAATGACCTGAACGAACCAAATCTAATGTAAAAAATCTCTCCTTTTCATTCATTGAGCTAGAAAAGGTCTTCTGAACATGAAAATCCAGCTTCAATTGCTTCTAAGTCCTTTAAGCAGAGTTTACATACAAAGGAAAAAAAGGGTCTCCTACGTAGAATTGAGATATCCAAGCAGCAATATGCTAAGATACTTATGAATGAATAATATAAACGACTCCAAAAAGATGATCACAGTCCCAGGGGCAAATATAACAAAACTGCCCCAAGATTATACAAGCCATCCCTACTTGTACAAAGGAGAAGGTCATAAACGGGTCATAACCTCAAAAAAAACAAAAATTGAAATAACTCATACCAGTTCCAAAATTTAGAGCACTATTGATTACCATCAATCAAGGTATTGTGAATGAGAGGCAGCCAGAAGGGCTGCACCAATGCCTGAACCATCTTTTGCAAGTTCAATGGAAACAGTTTTCGAGACATCTTCGCCGAGCAATTCACTTAGGGTGTTCTCCAGGCATTTTCTGTACTCTGTGTAATGCTCATACAATCCACCGTCTGTGGCTATGACACTCTTCTGATTCTCGCCATCCACAAGCGTGTCTCTCCCCAGTTTCTTCAAGATTCCCAAGATGCCAGCAGCTGCAAGACGAGCACCACGTGTAGCAACTATGTTGCAGAGCTGAACAACCACCTTCCTCACTTCCAGGGAGTTGTCTGGTATCTAAAATTGAAAATATAAACACAAGTCAATATGACAAAGTTCCTATGTTTTTTGCGTCTTGAGTGACATGAGAGAACTAAATTGTTCATGAAAGGTTTATTGGTATTCGAAATTTAAGAACTGGAGATGTTTGTGTACTCAAATTTACATACATAAAACTCTATATTCCAAAACCAGAAGTTGAAATCATTGTATAGGTGCTATAAAAGCCATTATATGTACAATTTTTTTCCCAGCAATAGAGAAAAACGATCCTAACCTCAAAGACATTCTTCAGTGTGTTTCCAACCACATTGAGATCAGAAGTTGTATCATGGTGCATTGCAGACATATCTGGGGTCCTGTACATCCAAAGCTATGGTGAAGAACTAAAAATAGGTTTAACAGTTTTATAACACTTCCATTAAGTACAAGAAGCACAGCAATCTGGGCATTTAAAAAATCTTGCTATATCATGATCAAGTGAGAGCAATATTGGGAGATTGCCAATTTGGATTGCTTAAAGAAACACTTCTGCGCTATGTAAAGTAAATATGTGAGAAAAATTTTGTCTCATAAAATACAAAAGTTATATTAAGAGGTACCAAACTTGTGATGGCTAATATGGCTCATGGGCAAGCAAATTGAGTGCCTTCATACTGATTTTTGCATCCCAACCCCTGTCCCTTCTCATTTCTATGACTAACTTCTATTCATAACACAGCCTAATTTGCGGTCACGGTTAATCAGATTCTGCACTGATTATCCATTGCTTTCACTGATTTTCTGCGTGGCTTGTGGAATTTAATTCAGTAACCTACGTTAAACTTCGTTAGTAATGAGATGACACCACTAGATAAACGAACACAAAAAAATAAATGCTCCAGGCAAAATTGAAGGAGGGAAACCTTTACAATAACGCTGAATTAAAAGTGGACTTTAATAACTTGAGAGGTCTACATGAATCTGAAAGTCTAGTCCTTTCATGTAACATGATTTTGCACAAATTTTGATCCCAACTCAATAGAATGCCCATGGTCTTTCAACATAAAATCTGAATGAACTAACATATAGGCCTAACTAATAGATTCCTATGATTAAAAAAAAAAAAAAAAGGCTAACCTATAAGACTAGAAACATTTGTTTCTATTAAACTTCTCCATCAACCTATTCTAGCAGATTATTTTTGTTTAAAAGATAAGAACCCACAAATATACATTAAGAAGACAGAATTATAGTATTATTTGGCCGGAGCATTGTGTAACAGATAAAATGTTTCGCAGTCTTTGGTAATTCTTAGATTATTAAATAAAAATTTACTACTGAACAATTCATAATATAGTTTATAAGTAGTTCAGAAACATGATTCACGCCGCAGGTTTGATAGTTTTCTTATGGTGGAATGATCGTTAATAGAGATACCTTGGGCATATTATGAGAACTGTAGCATTCCAGTTCAAAAAAGAGTAGAAAACAGTTATAGCAAGGCAAGATTTTAATCATGTTTAACTGATGTTATAAAGATAAACATAACAGTGGCTGCTGGATAACTTAATACCTTAGCGTAAACTGCACTTTCAATTTTGGAGGAACAGTATCACCAAATAAGCAGGCCTCATCAGCCATTTTGCACAGTACTCGGCGGACAATTTCTCCCAGATACATACCAGAAATTAGCTTCTCAAAAATCTGGAGACATTGTGGAGCATTTCAGGAAAAGAAGTGATATATTTTCATCAATGCATATGAAACGGAATGTAGAATGGAAGTACCATAATCTTACCTGATCACCGGGGTTTAAACTTTCAGCATCTAATGCAGAATCATACTCAGTTAATGGAAGGTGTGATGAACGAAAGTTTCCCCACTCCATGTTAATAACCTGAACCGATGAACTCAGATAGGCTTCAATTTTCACTCTACTAGTCTTAATAGATACTTTGCAGCCCTCATTAAGATTAAAGATTTGAGTGAAGCAAATTAAGATCAGATCCTCACCATTTCTCCAGATTTTGGCAAAAGACCATGCCATTTGGGTATTGCTTGAGCACGCTCCACATATGCTGCATTAGTTCCAGTACCTAAAATAACAGCAGCAATAACATCTTTTTTTGTGTGTCGACCTCCTGCTAATGTCCCAACTGTATCATTGACCTAAGATAAATAATGAAAGTGAGTTAAGATGGAAAGCATAATACATAGAATAGGCATTGTCTTCAGACCTACAAATATCAGGTAGTAATTCAGAAGTTATGCAAAAGAGTCCAACAACTTCAATTACCAGAGCTGTTACGCGCATATCCAGACCTTTTCTCTCAATGGCTTTTGTCAATTCTGCCACAACATCCTGGCCAACCTATTAATAGAATAATAAAAATAAAATTAGTATGCAAGGTCATGGAGGCGTGAAAGAAAAGTTGTTCTCTAAGTGCGAACCCATAATTCACTAAAGAGACAGTTGAAACATGAGAAATTATAAAATAAATAAGGTTTTCATAGCTATCTATGACTGTGCGCTAAATCGCAACTTCAGCCCAAACAATGTCATCCTAAAAAGGCAAGTTGGAAAGAAATATACAAGACATGGAAAAATGATTAAAAGCTAAAAAGTTCTATCCGATCTTGTTTCATAAAATGTAAGGTTAAAAAGAGAAAATGCCCGGCTTCTAATGAACTTCATCCTTGGTCAGTGATACTATGAGCAAATAGCAAGAGCCATAACCAAGATTGTATAGCTTCATTGGAATTCTAGAAAGAAGATGCAATTACTTTGAACTTGTTCCAAGAAATTAGATGGATGATTAACACTGTTTTGAGTAATGATGCAGATCAAGTTAGCTGAAGCATAGAGGAAACCATATAATCTTCTAAGTGCATCTAAGTTATTGAAGAGAACAACTCAACATGCTTCAATTACCTTGTGAAATTTTTTACAGAGAAGAATGACAACATATGCAATACAATTATGAATTAAAATCACAAATTTTAATTATCTTACCAATTTATACTAACAATATTACAATAACCGAAATAGATAACTGTATGGAAGGTACCATGCATATTGTTCTGTGTAAATGGAGATATTTTTTTCAATTGAAATATCCCGGTCTTGCAAGCATAATTTACTTAAAAAGCTTTCTAATCCATCACAATCGGGGAGATAATCAATATTAAAGAATGTAAATTTAAAAAAAAAAAAATTTGAACCGCATCATCTATGGAGAAGCCTTTTGTCCACTTGATAAGGTTTCCTGAAGCAATTGATGTTTGCATTACAGGGAATGAAAAGGTAAAACCTAACTCCCTTTGTCTCCCTAGAGGAACTTGAAAATCTTGACCTTCATTGGCAACAAATTTTGCAACTTCTGCTGCAATATAGTCAAATAGTTCCTGATTCAAAATGTTTTTTCAATTAATTATACCTCTCACACTGCTTGAGTAAACCAAAAGTGAACAAAAGTTCTTAGGCAATAAGAGCTTACATCTGCTGTCCCCACCATTAAGGTAGTAGGAATTGAAACCTCAGTAAACTCTTGGTTAATAACACCGCCATCCTTCCCTCCCAGTTGCACTCGCAACACACGGAAGTTAGTTCCTCCTAGGTCCAATGCATAAAATAATCCTTCCTCATTCCTGAAAAGAGAGGGATCCACAATCACAGCCGGAGAGTTAATATTTGATTATCTGCTCACCATCTCTGTTAAATTTAAAAAATTGAAACAAGACAAATAATATGAGCAAATTTTAAGTTCCACTCTAAAAGCTTTAGATGTTGAAGTATGAGATAATCTTATACAATAAATTGCAATGAATATGGTGATAAACCCTAATCATGAATTCATTAGATATTTTATTCCAAATATGGCTAAGAAATGACAAATACACCAAATCAAGCAATATAGTATTCTCAGATGCGCATAAAACCAGAGAAAAGTGAGCCTTGTGTAGATAGTAGAGCAAAATCAACAGCCTAGCATGTTTAAAGCATGAACATTTCTGCTGGCTGACTGCATGAATAACGGAATACTAAAATTTTCTTCGGGGGGAAAAGAAACAACGATGACAACGATGCTAAAACAGAGTGTCCTACTTAGTTAAAATTTTCTCAAAAAACGAAAGGACAAACTGTAATTTTGATACAAAATTACAGGGTAATTCCATAATTGCAACTGTTGAAAAGATAGCAGGAGCAGGATTAAAAGATGACGCATCCATGCGTCAATGCTAAAACAGAGTTTGTTCGAAAAAATGTCAATTTATTTTCTATGCCATGCATACCTAAATGATAATCAGAATACATAATTTGGGCATTCGGACTTCCAATACCAAATTTTAAAAATCATATGATTAAATATTCATATCATATCTATAACCTAACTTTCCAACATTAGGCATATCAAGCATCTACGTGAAAGACTCCCCAGTCACATATGCTAGTCTTTAAAGTCACATCCTTCAAATCGTTTCCAAAAAAGATAGAAACATGCATTAAGAAAGAGGCTAATCACCCAATAAAATCACACCATCAACAAGAACGCAAGCAAGCAATAATTTTGCATTTGGGCAAAAGCGCTTTGTGGCCACAGAATTCAAATAATCAATCAAGTGATCATCGAGAGCAATCGGCAATTATTACCAGATAATTGTATAAACTATGACGTAACTCTTTTTTTTTTGGGGGGTTGTTTTGGGGGAGGGGGTTACAGGAGAAAAGTGTCTAATTAAACTGAAATCAATGAAATAGTGAAGCATTCATAGACGCTCAACTCATAACATAAATGGATTGGATCAAATGCTACGAAACACTAAAACTGATACAAATATATAAGAACATCTTGACACGGGAAAAAAAAAAAAATTCGTGTGAGCGTAATATTTAAAGGCTTCGTGTGATGTCAGTGATTCATAGATCAAATGAGAAATTGCAGAGCGCGAATCATGATACCCAGTTGGCAGATTATCAACATATGTGATGAGCATCTTGAGCTTGCTTCCACCTTCTGAGGCAAGCCCGGCGTGCATTTCCACCGTCATTGCATCGGCGACCTGTTTCAGCTTGCCGATGGGAGTGGCGCACTTTTCCTCCAGCTCCTGCAAAATGGCCATCACTCTGGCCCACCGTCGCGATTTCTTCATGCGGTGGCGCACCAGGAGAACCGCCGCGGCACATGCCGTCGCGGCACTTATCACTGTAGCTCCGACGACCACCCTCTTCATTTTGGTTACCTTGGAACAATAAAACCAAAAGCTCTCACCTTTGGCGCAAAAAAAGGATCCCAACGATGAAGTTAAAAAGAGTGTGGAACTACATTATATATATAGATAGAGAGAGGTTCCTTGACTTGAAAGATTGGATTGGAAGGTTTGGGGAGCAATGTGGCGCTGTCCAAGTAAGTGAGATTGGATTGGAAACGCACTTAAATTTGGCAGGAGGTAGACATGAACGGGAATTGGACCGAGATGGTGACAAGACAAAAGGCCTTTTGTAGTTGGAAGGAACGTGACAGCACATGAGTTGAGTAACAAAACAGAACACAAAAAAAGAAAAAAAAAATTATTTAATTATTTATAACTTTCAAACTAAATAAGTTCAGATTCTTGTTTTTTTCGCATGGAGTCAGGCCCTGATTAAACATCATAAGGCATGAACAGTTTCATGTGTTCGCGTCCTCTGTTATATTATCTTTATTTTTTTGGTATTACATATTTTACTACTCTTAACAAGAGTTTAAATTTTCATGATATAAAAGGACTTTTACAAAAGTTAGTGTTATAAAAGTAACAGTTTCAAGTTAATGATATAACAGCCAATAAAGTCATTTTTTTTGCCTTTATAGTTTATATAAGGAAAACTTAAAGTGCAAATTAGATTCTCCGTATAAAAATATCATATGAAAAAAAAATGTCAACATTAAAATCTAATTAATATTACCTTCGATTCCATATATAAAAGCTAGTTAACTAGTAGTTATAAAAGATACGTGTTGATTTTCTTAAAGTACCTATGTAGTTATTTGCTTTGAAAACTACCTCATGACGAATGGCTTTTAATATGTGCAGGGAGAGCTTGGGAAAAGAATCATAAATTTAGGAGATAAAGTATATTAAAATATTATATTTAAGACTAAAGAAAGCTTTTTCCTGGATAGGCATATGTATCCTCCTATTAGAGATAATTATATTTGAGACACTGTCGGGTATTAAAGGTAAACACCTTTCTAACAGGGATTGAAACACCGGTTCACTACGTTGTAAAAAACTAATTCTTTTTACCAAACCCAACTCCTTGGTGGCTAAAGAAAGTTCTTGTGTTATTACTAATGTTGATACTAATGGCTGGCCTACCTTAGGGTAGGTTGATGCCCTGTTAGTGAAAAGTGCCAGCAAATGTGAACAGACTTCATATGGCTTTCCAGACCCATTAATGTTGAAGGTCAGATATAGACACAAAAACATGACGACATGAATCGACAAAGAGCAAAAGGGTTCTGAGTCACATTGAGAAGGACACGAGACTGAGATTTGAGTGGCAGAGAGATTTTGAGATGCGGAGAGAGAAGAAGAAAAAGTGAAGAACCATAGCTTGAGGAAGAAAGTGAAAGAGGCTCACCACTTTGCATATTGTTATTTGTTTCATTTGATTGTGAAATAAGTGGCACACTATTCATATATAGTAAAGATTGTAATTTGTTATGATTTTATGTTTATTTTTTTTATTAATGATTTATATATGGCCTGTTAATTTAAGTCCCTCACAGGCATACATATTTTCATCCAATTAAATTATGTTTTACACATATGTAAGATTCAGCTACACAGTTTCCTCCTCAAAAAGTGGATCATATCTCTAAATATGGTACACCTGATGTGGATTCATTTGACCATCTAGTTGAAGACTAGTGACAATAAGAATGAGGCACGTTTCAATATTCAAAGTGTATGTTTAGATACCACATTTGCATTAGGCTATCTTTGAATTGAGAAAAAAAAAAAAAAGAAAAAGAGAGAGGAGGGAATACTACAAGGGAAAACTTCCAAAAAAATAGTAATAAAAAATTACTATTATGGTAAGTTTTTCCTCCTAATTTTTTCCCCATCCAGACACAGTTAGTTTTTCACATTTGACGCAGAAGTCTAGGCAGCTTTTGTTTTAAAAAAGAAAAAGAAAAAAAGAAAAAAGAGAGGCTACCAATCAGGCATCCAAGGATACCTTCGCTTACCAGGAGGCTATCTATAAATGTAGTGTGCATATGTGCTGGATAAACTTAAAGAAACTATCATACTGGTGTAATAAATGTTTCTCATATGCAAGGAGATTAAAATCGATGAGTACTCTGATGCGGGATATGTTGAATTTTCTGAATGGGAACGCTGATATGGCAGGGATGATGTTGGAAGGCACGATTGAAGTTTAAGCCAAGACTACAACCAATTGAAGGATTGAGGGTTTAGGCCTCCGGGAGGTCAGAGGCGGATCATATGCTGCTTGTAGTGGCTCTGAAATTGAAGCATATGTTCAACTAACCATATGAAATAATTTAGCGTCATTAATTAAGTAGCTATGTCAAGCATTTAATATGGACATCCAAAATTTTTTGACTTACTTTAACCAGAGTTGGCTTTAACGATCGAGTTTATTTGCTTCTTAGTAAATTATGGAGGTTCGAATTCTCAAGCGATTCTAGGACCATTCACAATTGCAAGGGCCACTGTTACAATCGACCCATGCAGCAGAATACAAGCACTCAGACTGACTTTTCTTTTCACGCCGTTAACAAGACTTGATTCTAAACGCTACACGCCCTAAAAACATAGATTAATAATCAGACTGCTTTGCACAATCAAGAACGCAGACAAGGTACAGATCCTTCACTCGAGAACTGAATATTGCTTCTCATCATTCTCAGGGTCCACCTGATGGAGTATTGTTCAGTGGTAATTAGCGCTAGGCGTAAGTTTAACGATAAGAATAAACATATACAATCGTGCTTTAGGCATAAAGCTGATTAGCTCCCATCTACGTTTCCCATGCAGAACAAACAATACGGGAAAAACGTAAGTACAGGTCAAAATAACGGGGTTTGTACTAAATATACGTCAAGGCAGAAATGTACAAAAGACGTGTTTGCCATGTATGCGTCTTCCTCAATTTCATACCCAACCCACCCACCTACCCCAACCCACCATCTGTTTTGCCTCTTTACCTCCCGGAAAAATATGCAACAAAAAGCTAAACGCAGTAGAAAAGGGAAAATGACCACAAATCTGCCACAAAACATAACACCCGCAACTGCATGCCAAAGATGTTCAGGGAGAATCCTAGCCAACTCTAAGAGGACAAGACAACATCCTGTGTAAGTTCCATAATGCACCAAAAGATTATGACAGACGTAGCTGAGCTGTCACACCTAGAAGCTCTTCAGCAAATGACAAGTCCCACATTTGCGAGGTTGGAGGGACAGCCGAGCATGCCTGAAAAGAGTTAAGAGCAATGAACGCCACCTTTTAAATTCAGTACTTACCCGAACTTGATGGCCTTTTCACTTATGTGCTCCCTCTTAAGATTGTGATGTGATACAAAATTTGATCTCTCCAGAAATTGATGTCGAATTCATTTACTCTTGGTTGATGCTAAATTCAAATCTCCTGTGTTATTTACATTAAATTGAATCTCCTGTCATGGCCCAAAACAGAATCAACAGCATAAAGACAAATAACGAACAGATTTGCTACAGGAAACCGTTATTAACCAAAAAGACATGCCTTATCTCTAGCTTCTGTACAACTTGAGCCATCAATAACCCTGGAATCAAGAACCTTTCCTACTGCAGCATTTAGCCAGAGATATTTATAAAAGAGAAAAAGGTGAGTGGTCAGAACACATCAGATACAATGATCGGACAAAAGTTTCAACAGAAAAATAAAATTAACATCCAGACATAATGACACAAACTACCCCAATACTTAAGTACCAAACGAACACTTGTATAACAGCTATCAAGACACAACGGCAACACTCAACAATTTGATGAACATTACTAACAATATCCCAATGGCTTTATAACCAGGTCATTTGATAAGAGTTTTAGATAGTACTAGTACTATTTTATTTTTTGGAAGGGGGTTTGATAAAATAGTTGAACAATGTGCTAAGAACATAATATATGGAAAAAGAAATCACAAGAATAAAAATTCAACAAGCAATGAAAAGCGCAGAAAAAATTGGAAGATAAAACCTCATATTGTTCCAGAGCTCATCTTGCAATAATCCTTTTTCACTAGTTGTTGCATTCTCCAAAAGCGCAACAGAGTCTCTCCCACATGCAGCATCCTCCTGCAAAGAAGCCCTCCCATCACCACCTCTAACAGTCCCCTCAACTGCTCCCATGTTACCCTCAGCGCAGTCTGCCACTGATTCAATACCAGCATCCTCTGAAGAACCACCATCACTTGTAGCAGATGTAATGACACTAGAATTTGACGCACATTCAGGTTCTTGTTCAGGAGATGTCATTCCTTTATCCAAATCATTTTGCCCTCTATAGGACAACCCAATGCTCTCCATAGCCCTCAACTCTTGACCTTGACCACCAGACATGGCATCAGTAGAAAAATCCTTGGAAGCCAAACATTGAAATTGATTCACTTCAAACTGGCACATTCTGTTTTTCGTACTGCTGCCCAAGCTATCCACCGATTTTTCCAAAATGTCTGAAGAAATTGAATCTTGCCTCTGAGGACTGCTAGAAAGCCTTTTTGCAATAACATGATGGTTCTCACCCGCCATGTCCTCATTTTTCCTCTTACGGTTTCCATCATGTTCAGTCCTACACACCCCATCTGCGTGAAATGATTTAACAGGTTCCTCTACTTGTGCTGTTGGCTTTGATGGTCGAGATCTCTTATTATAACCATTAGGCAAAACGTAAGATGGAATTTGCCTTCTACGGACATGAGAAACATGTATTTTCATCCCAGGTTTCCAAAACATGTACATATTAACAGAATGCCGAAATTCATCAACTGTCTCGCGTATATCAAACTGTTGACCTTCTTGAACAATCTCCCCTTGCTTCCTCTGCAAGCCCATGAAGAAAGCACAATGTGCACATTGTTTAGAAGCATCCACATACTCATGAGGATAAGGATGACACTGCAACTTTCCGAGAGTGTCCCGCTCAATCTGCAAAGAAAATTTGATAGCAACCAATGAGTCAGCAAAGATGGTATTTGAATTACGGTATTCATGACCACCCTAGCAAGATTCTTCAATACAATGAAACATTTAGAACTAGCCTTATTGCTTCCACAAAAATCTAAGATACACTACCATCAAAGTCAGCTGCCGAAGTCGAGATTCCACCCACCCTTTCCATAGCCGCAAGTCATCAGCATCAGCTGCCACTATGTCTACCTGAAGATAGTTCTTATAACTTTCAAAGAAAAGGTATGGCTCAAACATACAACTCCAACGGGCTTTGTTCAGCTCTATTTCCTGAATTTGTTTAACAAGAACAAAGAATCAGCATCAATTATAAGTGGCAAAAAAGGACTTAGAACCTAATTATAAACAGCATTGTTAAACCAACCCCTTACCTCACAGAGCTTATTGCCATACTGAAACTGTTCCATCATAACACGAAGTGTACTTGTTGAAACATTGTAACTAGAATTCATGCAGGGATAGGCAGGAGTAATGATAGGCATATGATGTGTTCTGTCACGAGGGTATTTACGAGGATCCCAAACAGAAAATCCAAGCTCATTCTCCTCAATTGGACATAACATGACAGGATTTGGCCAGCGCCACTGCGTATACACTCGAAAGAATCGAGAAACGAGCATACTTGGAACTGCATTCGGATAGAGCTGGCACACTCGAGCAACAAGAAGAGCCCAATTCACACCACCAAGAAATCCAGTCACCTGAATTCAGTGTTGTAAAAAGAACAGTGGAAAAATTCAGAACAAGTAACATAATCATCAACTATAGGGATGGTGATTGCAAGTAAGATAAACTAAACTATTTGAATGGAAAAAGAGGGTAAAGATATCAGTCACTCACATTGGAATAAACACCTCGTCTTTTGGCCCAAAATTTTAAGCACCGAAGTGTTGTTCGAAAGTGCTACAAAGCAAGATATGGAGAAAAATAAACTAGACTTAGTTATGGACACAGGGAGATCTACCGAATACCACAGCACTTTCCAAAGGAACCAGATAATTAAATTTCAGGAATGAATGCAGACAGATGAATTACCTCAACATTTGGAACAAGCTTTAAAATTTGATCTGCAACTCGACACCCATTCAGGCTTCGAACAGTAGGCTCATCCACATCGTATAAGACAGATACATCAGATATGTCCAAGTCCTGTTATTGCAATTCAGATACAAGGCAGTTAACTTTGATCATCCAGTGAGTGGAAACAGGAAATTAACAATCAGCACTTACTTCAGGCACAACCAAGCAAGATGTACTGGCATAAAGCAGGTCAATTGATATTCCATCAAATTTGAATTTCATAACTGGTACGTGAGCATCTGGAACCGGTTGCAGTTCAGAGACCTCATCCATGTTAGCCAGAATGTCATGCAATACAAAGAAAAAGTCCTCCTGGTGAAGCAATATGCAAGTTATAACCCAAAAAGAAAAATAGAAAATGACTAAAACAAAGCACAAATACGACTATTATTTGCACTTCCAACATACCTCTCGGTTCACATAGGATGGTCCAACACATAATGTGTCTATGTCTGCCCCAGGACCGTGCACCTGCACCATAAAAAATTATTTATAGATATTAATTCCCAAAAAAAAAAAAAACCTAGAGAAAAAAGGGAAGCCAAAAAAAGCATCATTTAATTCCTTAAAAGTGATTTGTCAGCAGACTACGTAGATCAGAATGTCATGATAAATTCTGAATCCTGATAATGAATGATCTGCAAGCTAATGGATTAATTTAATAAATATAAAAGCGTGCCAGAAATGAGTTCTTTAATTACGTTTTCCGTCAAAAACTAGATGTAATTACTCCAGATTAAGTTTAGTGCAATTATAATCCCAGTCCATACTGCACAAGATAGAGATTGAATTCCCCATTGCATATCCTTGGAACAAGGCATCATATGTATAAATCAATGATAGGCTTACAACAAAAATATTTCTACAACTAGGCCATTGCATTTATGGACATTGATGATGATGAAGCTTTTAAATGAAACCAAAGTTTTGGGTTAGGAATGTATTTTCCATATCGATCCAGGAAAACAGGTGACGTTCCATTCCCATTTAGATTAATATGTTTGAGACAACATGCGGCACATTTCAATGTATGCACAATACTAGGCACTAAAAACTATAAATAATACCAGGGTTACCATACATGAACACTGAAATGCTTTTTTGAAAAATAAAACACTTGGCTTAAGCATGACACAACAGTTACTCCAAGGTTAAGTCAAATCATAAAGCATCGCAAATCAAAAAAAGCATCAAACAAACTCACCCCAAGCCGATAAGAACCAAATGTGAATATGACAGCGTTTGCATCTTCCACCATTTGATCAGTGTATCCTCTTAGCCGAGTCAGTTGCTTCACCCAATCCTTTACTATCTGAAACAGACAAAAAAATTTACAGCAACGTTTATATTATTTTCTTTCTGGGGGCCCGAGGGCGAGGGATTGGGGTTACGAGGAAACAACAAGCGGTCATAACAAGACAAAATTAGCAACGCCATCACTTGGATAAATAAAGAACAAAGCAAAGAATCACTTCAACATGCATGGAAATAAGAGCTAGACTATGTTTCTTAATAATATATAAAAACATCCCTCCAGATCATGCTTCGTGACACTTCTGTACGACCAGCACTGACCATCCCAATAAAATGTGAGTCCGTAACATTTGTCGCGCCATACCAAGGCTACCCGTTAAAGGTTCTATCCCCATAAGTGAACACGGTAACAGGAGAACCCGTGAGTATAAAGAGATGCGCAATCACCTGTCCAAGTCGATGAAGGACCTCCTCTCTCTTAGCAGCCTCCTCTTTGCTCTCATATAGCCCTGAACGACCCAGAAACTTTCGCACCCAAGGGGTGAAAAAAAATCCCAGAATTCATCAATAATCCAGTCTCTAGTATTTGAATTCGAGAGAAGTAAGGTACTTAACACAAAATCGAACCTTCTCTAACTCCAAAGTCCTTTGTAAATCAGCCGCCGTCGGCCCAGCCATGGATATCGGCTTCGTCACGCCATATTGCTTAGCCGCCGACTGGGAAGGTTGCGACAAAGTCGTCACTGCCCCAGAGTTATTCATCTCAACCTCGTAAAAAGATTTTTCCTTTTCTTATTCTTTTTCGAATAACGATGATCCTAAAAAACACCTAACGAAAAGAAAATGAAATAGAAACCCACTGGATCCGACCAGGAATTCGAAACAAACCTAGAAACGAAAATCAGATTAAACAGAAAATCGGAACCCTAAACCTCAAAAACACCGAGCCGAAGATCATCTATGCGAACAGTAATAGAATGAATGACCTAATGCGAGCAGGAGTTTAGAAAATCAAAGCCCTAGATCCTGAGAAGGACAGTGGAAAAGAAAAGGGGGAAATCTCCGCAACAAAATTTGATAGCGTCAACGTTAGAACCGAATCGGATCAAAAGATGGACATAAGGGAAAAAGAGTGACGAATCCGCGAAGGAAAACAGTGTCGGTGAGGTTGAGAAAGAAACAGAGAGAGCGAGCGAGAGAGAGAGAGAGGAGGAGCGGAATAGGGAGCGAGCCGGAGAATTTTGGTGGGTGGGGTTCGCGGGCAATTGATTTTTCTGAGATATTAAATGGATTCTTCACTTCGTATCTACTCCGGACTTCCTTTTCTTTCCTTTTTCTTTTTTTCCCCTTTCTCTTTATATTAATAAAAATTATCATAATCAATCAAATTTGCAATCATCAATCAATTAATCAGATTACATGTCCCTTATTAGTTATTAATTGACTGGTTGTTGATGATTTTATTCAAAGAGATGTCACTTTTTGGATGAAAAAAGGAAAGCATGCCGTTTTTTAATTATTATATGTTTGAGATAAGCATTATTTTCAAATTTAACTAAGTAAGGGTACCTTACTTGATTTAAATATTTTGGCTTTACTAATCTATCTTCTTGTCTCCTTATCTTGATATTGTTTTGATATAATCTTTAAATTTTGAATTCTAATTTTATATAAATACTGATTATTGTTTAATTTTTCTATTGATTATACAAGTTTGACCACTGGTATTTTTTACACACGTAACACCACATAGGAACCATAGAGATTCTTTTTCTTTTGCTTTTTTTTCTTGGCTAACGCCGGAGGTTTTAATTTGATACGTAGTGATGAGGTTTTCCAAACCTAAAAAGCTCAGATACACGTGGCGTTTTGGGGATGGTAGGGGATCGTAGAGCCACGCTATTTGAGGCGATGTTGTCGGGGGAGTTTCCTTGACTAGCAAGAAAAATATCTTTGTGGAAGATTTGACCCCTTGAGAATTCACGAATCCATCTGAGGGGCGCGCGCTCCGTGCGCGGTGCACTCAACACTCAAAACGCCGGCTACTTAGCATGGCAGCGTCGGATTTTTTTTTTTTTTGCTTTTTCTCTTTTTTTACCTTTCTTATTAAAAAATATATGCATTAGAATTATTTTTTGTTTAAGTTTTATTTAGTACTTTAAAGTATTTTTTAAAATATATTTATTATCCTAAAATATTGTGTTTCATCTAGCACACTAAAATATTTTTTTAGATGCATCCCATATTTTAAAATATTTTCTCATACAATTATCCAATATCTTAAATTACTTTTCAGGCAAGTTCAGCATCCTAAAAATATTTTTTTATTCATCCATCACCCTAGAATATTTTGTTAGATCTCTCTAATATCTTAAAATATTTTGTAATTTATCCGACGCTTTAAAGTATCTTTTAGATACATCCAATATTTTTACTGAATACACATGAAAAAATATTTTAGAGTATTGAATGAAACTTAATCCAAAAATAATTTTAATATATACTACCTTTGGTCGTTAACATAAGAGATTGTTGATTAATTTGAATACATTAAAAAATTAGTTAATTAAGTTAGTTTTGATGGCTTTTTTACTAGTATGCTACATACAGTAAAAAAAAAACTAAAATGATGTAGTTTCAAAGGTATTTACCAATATGCTACACTTAAAATCGTTCTTCAGATAAATAATTTTCAAAATCATTTTTCAGGTAAACAATTCTCGTAACGAACAAGAATATTGTTATTTTAATATGAATTTCAATTAAAAATAATATTTTTAGAATTTTTTTAGAATATTCCTAATAGTGTTAACTAATTGAGCTAAACTATATGTTTTTAAAATAGATGAGAGGTTTATGTAATTGATGCAAACTAGGAGAATACTCACAGTATTTTACTCTTGATTCAAAGCACTAATATCATGACACGTCATCACTGATTCAAAAGTGTAACATAACAAATAGCAAGAAAAAGTCAAAATGAAGAAAAGAGATTATGAGTGCCTTTCATTCATTTCAAATATTCATTACTTACACCCTATTTTTACCTAAAAAAATATATGAAAGCAATAGGTCACTTGAAGTGAGTAGAACACTTTCTTTTTTCTTTTTTTTACCAACTTCTTACTCATCATATATACCACAGATTTGATACTTAGAGTGTATATATATAATTAATTTTCAGTTTTATCTTATCAAATTGAAACTCCTGGAGAAGTATACTTTCATTTAAGAAAAATCATATACTGAAAAAAAGTTGGAGCTTGTATCAAAATCTTAATATCTTAAGATAATATAATAGATGATAGTTTTGCTGTCAAAACAAGAGGCACCTAACTTAGAAAGAGTACAAATATTCCAAATCGTTGAACCCACCACTCACCTCGTGAAAATTAGAATAATAAAATATTAACCCATCAAAAGTAGTATAAATGAAAAATCAAATTCTATATCACAACTGCAAATTAAAAAAGAAGAAGAAGAAGAAGAAGAAAAATAACATACCCACAGTATTGGTAAAAGAGCTTTGTCAAGTGCTTAGAAGCAAGAGTAGAAACATAACAGAGCAAGATAACAATAGAAATGGATCAAGTGAACCATCATAAGGAGGAAGAAGAATAAGAAGAGAGAGCTCTAGGATGATAAGAGATAAAGAAGGAAACAAAAACTGAACATGTAAATATATAAAAGCATATATATTGTTGTGGCCTTACAGATTTACATGGAAAGAAAGGATTGAATTGAGAAGTGAGAGAAGTGAGCATTAAGAAGGAAATGGTAGAGAGACACTCACATGCGAAGAAAATAAAGTAAAATCATTCTTGGCATGAACGATTTCAATTTTTTATTTAAAAAAAATAAAATGTCAAAAAGTGAAATCATTCACACTAAGAATAATTTCACTTTTTATTAGAAAACATACAAGTGACTTGTGTATAATTTGAAAACCGTTCTTACTAAAAATGATTTTAAGTATGGCATATAGGTAAATACTTTTAAAACTGTAGCATTTTGGTATAATTTTTTTTACTGTGTATAGTATACTGGTAAAAAAGCCTAGTTTTGAGTGCTGAGCACGAAATGCGGACACGCGGGTACTTCGTTTGGACTTCTAGGAGAACTTTGTTTGCTTTTTTTTTTTCATGATCAGCTCATTTGTCTGGAGGCTATAAGCCCATTTTTGAAATGCTTTGAGCTTTTGAAAAGTCTCTAATATTTTCCTCACATTAACAATTCTTCCCTAATGAAAAAGGTTGATTCTTCAAAAACATGTTTAAATCTTTGTTAAGAAATGTGTCTACTTTTAATATTTAAACTTAATCTACAAATTTTAATTTAATATAACTTAATCTTGATAATTTCATTCACTTAAAACGTTAATACATAAGTTTTATGAAATACAACTTTAATTTTTTAAATATAAGAAATAACATTTTAAATGGTCAAACTAGAACAATTGCAGGAGTCAAAGTTAGCGAAGGGGTTAAGGTGCATCCCAAACTTAAGAAAATGTTTCAAAATATTATACGAATATTAATCCACCAAGTTATCTTGAGTTAAAATTTAAAAATTAGGTCACAGCCAAACCAAAACTATAAGAATCAAAAACTAATTTTCCTTATATTTTAGGATATTTTCAAAAGGCCATTAAGAAAAGAAGAAAAAAAGTAGCAAAAACATTTATTTCAAGAAAAAAGTATGCAGTTAAAAGACAAAACCAAAAAACTCAAAGAGTGTGGTTGAGCAGTAGGAGCTCATCATCTCTTAACCAAGTGTCGAGGGATCCACTCATCGAGGTACCTACAAGCTAGCAAAAGGATTAGTCATTAGGTATGCCGATAGATACTTGATGTTTTAAAAAACAAAAGACAAAATCAAAACGCAGAGCAACCCATGTTTACTTATGGAGCTAGCATATAGCATTGTTTTAAGGGGGAATTTCACTGTAGGACCGCAGAAAACAATTAATATCAAAGAGCCCCCAAAACTTTCTGAAACCTCACTGCAGGACCAAGGGACCAATCTGATATTAATTTTTAGAGTGAGATTACAATAATACCCTCCCTTTTTATTTTATTTAAAACTAAATATTTACCGGAGTTACTGTTCCGGCCACCGGAGGTCGGAGGTTCGGCCACTGGCGCTCAGGTGGCCGCCGTCGGGGTCCGATCACCGGTGGCCGGAACAGTAACTCCGGCGGGACCTCCGGTGGCCGGAGTTTTTTTGTTTAAAACAAAGTGGCCAAGGGAGGGTTTGAACCCAGGATCCCTTAGCACACCAAAAGACTTGTAACCACCAAGCCAAGCAACCCATTCAATCATAATATGCAAATAAAACTATATATAACAAAATAAACGCAACAGTCCAAATGTATGTGAACAAGTGAAATTAGACGATTTACAAGTGGAATTCAGAAATTTGCAACAAAAATTAGGCAATTTACAAATAACATAATAGAAGTCATAACCCAAAATGCAAGTATTTAAGTGCAAATGAGCAAGTAAAATTTGAAGATTTACAATAAAAGTTTATGGATTTACAACCCAAATTTGGCAAACACAAGAGAATTCACAACCCAAAATGTAAGTGTTTGAGTGTAAGTGAACAAGTGAAATTAGACGATTTACAAGTGTAATTCAGTAATTTACAACAAAAATTAGACAATTTACAAATAACATAATAAAAGTCATAACCCCAAATGCAAGTGTTTAAGTGCAAATGAGCAAGTGAAATTTACAGATTTACAATAAAATTTTATGGATTTACAACCCAAATTTGGCAAACACAAGAGAATTCACAACCCAAAATGTAAGTGTTTGAGTGTAAATGAACAAGTGAAATTAGACGATTTACAAGTGTAATTCAACAATTTACAACAAAAATTAGACAATTTACAAATAACGTAATAGAAGTCATAACCCCAAATGCAAGTGTTTAAGTGCAAATGAGCAAGTGAAATTTGAAGATTTACAATAAAATTTTATGGATTTACAACCCAAATTTGGCAAACACAAGAGAATTCACAACCCAAAATGTAAGTGTTTGAGTGTAAGTGAACAAGTGAAATTAGACGATTTACAAGTGTAATTCAGCAATTTACAACAAAAATTAGGCAATTTACAAATAACGTAATAGAAGTCATAACCCCAAATGCAAGTGTTTAAGTGCAAATGAGCAAGTGAAATTTGAAGATTTACAATAAAATTTTATGGATTTACAACCCAAATTTGGTAAACACAAGAGAATTTACAACCCAAAATGTAAGTGCTTGAGTGTAAGTGAAGAAGTGAAATTAGACGATTTACAAGTGGAATTCAGCAATTTATAACAAAAATTAGGCAATTTACAAATAACATAATAGAAGTCATAACCCCAAATGCAAGTGTTTAAGTGCAAATGAGCAAGTGAAATTGTCGAATTTCACTTGCAAATCTATAAACTTTTGTTGTAAATCTTCAAATTTTAGTTGCTCATTTACAAAAAAATTCTGGCCACCGGTGGCCGGAACAGTAACTCCGGTAAATATTTAGTTTTTAATAAAATAAAAAGGGAGGGGTATTATTATAATCTCACTCTAAAAATTAATATCAGATTGGTCCCTTGGTCCTGCAGTGAGGTTTCAGAAAGTTTTGGAGGCTCTTTGATATTAATTGTGTTCTGCGGTCCTACAGTGAAATTTTCCCTTGTTTTAATGTCAGTACTGTAATACAAGGATTCTTCGAAGGATATACTAGCTGCTCATGTTCTGATGATGTTGGAATTGGATGCCGTATCCCTTCACAGTTGTGTCTTTTCTTCTTATTGTTTTTCTGTGTCTTCTCCTAGCTAGGTTCTGTACTGTAGGTTGCTAGTATTTTTTCCTCCTCAAATGGACTAAAATTCTCTTTTCTATTCTCAAATGTACCTAACAACTACAAATACTGGATCAAAATGAACCTGAATGTGTGCTGTAGAAGAAAGATGCGCCCGTTTCACTCCTTATTCCCTATCCACCCACAATATAGACATTTAAAACCTGTGATCTGGATGTCCAAGGGGATGAAGAGAGGTAGTTAGGAAACCTTTTGTGCTTTCTTTTTCCACCAATACACTGATCCATGGTGTGTCTTTACTTCCCTGTTCAAAATCCTCAAGACTCGGAATTTAGGATCTCTTCCTAAGAAATTGAGTCCAACTTCCTGTTATTGATATTTAGAGAAGAATCCCGGAAGAAACAAGTGCTAAGCTTCTCAAACTCATTCAAAGTTAATTTCACACAACTGTCCAAGGCTAGAATTTGAGCTTAGACCTGAAGCCTTCACAGCACTAGAAGTTATTCAGGTGTGATATCTTGATCTCGTTTTGAGCGAAGAATTTAATTTATTGCCGTAATAATGTACATTTGCTCTAGTTTCTTCATGTCATAACATACCACACAATGCATCTGCAGCATATTAAGATTGATCCATTGGTATCAATATCATCTATCAATTATCGACGCCGATGTGCATCTTACGGATTGATGAAGGTAAAATCTCAAGATTTCTTTTCCCAAGTCATGATGATGCGAGTTTCAAAATTCCGTATTTTGTTTTAGGGTTAGGTGTAAAGAAATACCCACTCAGTCAACAGGAATGCCAAAGATTTTGGCATAGAGACGAAGGCATCTCATGAACAAACATGTACGAAAGTTGCGAAGTTTGAAGCATACAAAGTCATTTCTCAGCGATCCTCAGAGCCATAAAAGAAGGATAAAGAGGAAGGAAATGTGGGGAAGATGATTGTTGTGAAATCCAATGAAAAAGATGAAGCACAACTGCCCACCTTCCCCAGATCTGTGTGGCAGAGAATACTTTCGGAACAGTGCATTGAATCGAAGCACAATACCGATACACACAATCTCTGCGTCTCAATCACAATTCGAGACATCTAAGACCTCAATATCGAAGACTATTAGCTATATAAACCCTAAGAACATACAAAGAGCGATCGACGAAACACAGGATACCGCCATCAAGAACGAGAGACGGGAAGTAAAGGTACCCATGCCGTTGCATATATAGGAAGATTAACGGCGGAGGCAGCAAAACCCTAAACATTTTGAGGGGTAGTGGGCCTGAAATGTTCTAATGGGCCGAATTTAATTTCCAATTGGATCCATTACCCGGCCCATTCTTTCCCTACCTCAGTATGGGTCGACTTCACTGCTCCATTTTTTTTTCTTCAGTTGTGTTTTTTCGGCTGATATTTTTCTAAAGCACTTGAGTTAAGACTCCTCCGGTCCTTAATATAGGACCCAATTGTTGAGTTGGGTTTGGTCCTAAATATAAGACCCATTTCTCATATTTATCAATTTTCTCTAAACTACCCCTATGGATACTCCCTCAACCATAATCAAATAAAAGAGGGAGATGAGGTATTAAGAAAGATGATTATAGTGTTTTAGGAAAAATGTGTCACTTTTCTTATAATTAACCAACTTACCTAACTTCCTTAATCTAATCAAATTAGTTAAATGGGTCTTATATTAAGGACCGGAGGAGTAATAAATAAAATACTATATTCGGTCCTAATATAAGAGCCAGTTTATTAATTTGAGAAGATTAAGAAAGTAAGTTGAGTTAGTTAAAATAGGTGTTGTCTTTCCTAAAATGGCCTTACTAGTTAAGTGTATTGACTAGAATTATCATTGTTAGAAGGACTAATTTGGAAAAAAAATGTATAAATATGAGAGACAAAGTGGATTGGGATATTATATTTAGGACCAAAATAAAAGTCAAACAGGATTTTATATTAAGGACCGAAGGTAGTATTTTGTTTTAAAAATATTATCTAGCTGATGTATTATTGGTATAGCATGAACTCCGCTAAGTAGTTGTTCGTTCATGAATTAAACTGTGTTCATCTCAGATTTGAGTCGTGCAAGGCTTAATTAAGGGTGTGTTTGGGTGACACCTCAAAACCATGGTTTGAGGAATAATCTACCCAAACACCCCCTCCAAAAACCAAAACCATGGTTTTGGGTCAAAACCATGGTTTTGACTCCAAAACCATGGTTTTGGAAAAAGCAAATTTTTTTTGCTTTTGGAGAAAGAAGGGAGAGTGTGAGGGCCTATATGATATGTATCTTGTTATTTTTTTTATAAACATATTTTTTTATAAATATATTTAATCTTATATTTTATAAAATATATACACATTAATTATTTATTAATTATATTATCTTATGTATTATTAATTATGTTGGTAAAAAAATATTATTAACAATTTTATTCCTTCAAATTAAAATATATCATAAAATCTATTTTTTTTGTAATTATCATATTAACTTATGTCTTTTTTTTAGTAATTTGTATATATAAAAAGTGCTTCTGATAACAACTATCCAAACACTCTCACTTCTCAGAATCACTTTTTTACAAAATCTATTTTTCACAGAATCTATTTTTCTCAGAATCTATTCTCCAAAATCACTTTTCCAAACCACGGTTTGGTTTCATCCAAACACACCCTAAGTCGGATTTCAATTTAGCGGATACTATAGCAACACATGATCCATCATCCTGAATATGAGTTTTCTCAAATTTAGCATTTCTTATACAAGATTTAAATATTTTTTATTCACAATATTCAAATTCTTAACCTTACTATGGAAGCAATAACACAGAAACATTAAACCTGCGCAATGTGGAGATCATTATGATGGTGATGGTGATGATACATCAACAACAACTGTTATCTCACTGGATAAGGTCAACAGCACACAAAGTAAATACTTCTCTAATATTTAATATATGACTTAATTGTTGAGTTAATTTTAATTCTAAATATAAGATTTATTTTTCATATTTATCAATTTTTTTAAATTATCCCTATGAATACTCCCTCAACCATAATTAAACAGAAGAATGATAGAGGATATTAAAAAAGATTATTATGGTGTTTTAAGAAAAACATGTTATATTTTTTGTAATTAACTAACTTACCTAACTTCTTTAATTTAATCAAATTAGTTAAATAGGTCTCATATTAAAGACCGGAGGAATATTATTATACTCTAACAACAATCAAATCATTAGAATTATTAATCAAAAGAGCTTCACAATGCATTATAGAAGATTTAAAATTCAACAGAGTTTTGTGTTGGTTGTCAAGAACATAATACAACTCTTATTTATCTGCGCTTGGGACCGACTATAAATAGAGTTACCATAAATGTAACACATTTATTGGTAGGATGACAAAATGAAAGTAAAACATAGTAGTAACTTATATTTAAACTTTTAAAGAAAAGGGTGATAAATCATGAAGTGAACCCAATTTATTGGAGATAGAGGAGGGGGTTGAAAATGAAGGAATAATCAAGCAATGTAGTAGAGAGGATCGGGTAGCTTGAAGGTGCGCTGGCCGGTGGTAGTCCCCAGAATATCACTCCACTGATCGCCGATGTTGCCTACGATTCTGTATCCACCCTCCTCCACCTTCTTCCTCTCCGCCGATTTGTATTCCGCTGCCGTTTTCCCGCCATACGAACCATCCCTGCACGCAAACATATTCACCGTCGTTTACTTCTCTCACGTCTCTATAACTCAACCTCCGTCCATCACCGTCTATTTTTATTTATATATATATTCAATATTTTTTATTTTATTTTATAATTACGACTATATTATATAGTATTTCGCCAGTCCCTGCAACCGCCTTATCTTTATCGTTTACTTTTTTTTCTTTATTTCTAAATCAAATCAATCATCATGTAGTTCCACTTAATCAAGTGTGTGTATATTATCAGCATCGATCATGATGACGAGTATTTTATTCTATGTAATTGGCATGATTCATGTCGGGTGTGTGTGTGTGTGTGTGTATATATATCATCATTCCAATACAGTATTTCCACTTATTGCACAGTCTGCGACCATATACATACAAATGAATCGATCAAATTCTAAATAATATCATTCATCTAGCTAAACTCTTCTTTATATCTATTCATATTTAAAGTTTTAAAATAGTTTAAAACTTTCAAATATGAACTTTTAATTTGGCCAATATGCTAACATGTACTACCTCCGATCCTTAATATAAGATCCCGTTTGACTTTTATATTGGTCCTAAATATAAAACCCCAATCTATTTTATCTCTCATATTTACTCAATTTTTTCCAAGATAATCCTTCTAATAATTATAGTTCTAACCATCACACTTGATTAGTAAGAATATTTTAGGAAAAACAACACTTATTTATTACAAATAACTAACTTAACTTTTTTTCTTAATTTCCTTAAATTAGTCAACTGGCTCTTATAATTAGGACCGAAGGTAGTATTTGAGTGTGCACAGTCAACACGTACGTATGAACTCATTGATCATGGTCAGCTTATAACTAATATTGTGATAAAGAATTGTAAAAATTAATTATATATTTATTATTAAAAGTTTATCTGAAAACTTAATGATAAATTTAATTATTAATTGGCCCATCAACTTATAGGAAATACACACACACACACGCTTATATATTATAAATAGAAAGAAAGAAATAGAAGCTTACTTGAGAATCAATTTGTGCCAGGAATGATAACCAGCAAGAAGGAGATTGTGAGTAGTGGCATTCCTTTGAGATTCAGGCCTTCCAGTTAAGAAGACGATCTTGATGCCCAGTTTCATCAACTCGTAGTACAGCTTCTTGCTCTCTGGAAGTGCTGGTGCCTTGCTTTCCTCCACCCACTCGTTAAACGACGTCGCATCGAATGGCTCCACCCTTCCCATTTATTATTCCATAATAATATTATATTGCCGTTACAAGATAACTATCAGCATGCTATAATGTGTTTTGTCTACAATCATTAATTTTTGGAAAAGTGAGAAGTCTTTATCTACAAATTTTATTTGCTAGAAGAAGGGTATCGGTACTTTTTGTTATGAAGTCTTGCAGAGTATATTAGCATGTTCTAAAATTTAATAAATAGTATTATGAAATGGATCCAAAATGAAATCACAAAAGTAGAATAGAGAAAGTAAAGACAAGAAAATGAGAGAACTTTTGTATTTCTTCACTTGCTTCACTTGTATCACAATACAATGGCATGCCTTATTTATAGGTGTAATCTTACACATAAGTTACATTTATACTTAAATGATAGATAGCGGACAACAAACCACATGAATATGAGTGGGGGGAGTTACAAGATTAAAGGCATAGTGGAAAGGTAATGGAGTAGTGGAAGATTACTGCCTAATGGAAGTAGTGAGAGTTGATGATAAAGTCGAGAGGAAGAGGAAGAAGAGGAGATGAACATCCATATGTTATAATATTCATAACAAATAGGAGCTTTTTACCGGTTCTTTTTTAATTTTTCCCCTTAATGTCCTTAATTAATTAAAAACTTTCGTCACAAATTAATCAACCAAACTCTTATAATTAATGACTTTTATTGAGAGTAATTTTTATAAGAAATAACTAGTTTTAACTGTAAAGTTGTTACTCTAATGAGGATCGGAGGGAGTAGCACTCAAACACACACAAAAATCAAATACATCGAACAACACCGCACCAATAAGGTACAAATAGTGTAACTCATTGGGTATTCAGTAACTTTATATGGACTAATTGGAAATCGAGTTTTGGTCAATACAATTATACTACCTTCGGTCCTAATTATAAGATCTTGTTTGTAGACTACAAACGAAGTCTTATAATTAGGACCAGAAATAATATTATATTGCATTATAATCTCATTAGCAAAGGTTAATGGCTTGATTCAAATTAGTTGAAATCTGATATGTGACTTTCGAAACAACAAAAAGGTATTAAACAACAATCTAATGATGAAAAAGATCAGAACGTACCCAAAACCATGCGTAGCATAATAAGGAAGATTAGAGAGGGAAGTCTCATCAATATCAAAGACCCAAACATCTTTACCATAACCAGTGAGATTGAGCTTCTTTGCGTAGAAATAAGCTTCACGAGCCACAGCTTTAGAATCCTCTCTATATTGCAAACCTAACATATAGTTCCCAATATAGCCTTCACATTCTCTGGGCACAGTTTTCCAGTCCATAATGTTATGAGCTTCAACCCCAAGTCTCCAACTCGCACAGTTGATTCCCTGAAGGGAAGCTCCATAAGAACCAGACCCAGATTTTGTTCGTAGAGGATGGATCTGGTGGTAGGGTTCCGGTGATGACGAGCCCACCACCGTAATGGAGGCTATGGATAACACAAGAGCCGCCGCCACTATCACCGTGGTCGTTCTCATGGCTGATTTTGATTGATCAAATGATTAGGGTTTTGTTCTATTGAAGATGAAATAATGAAGTTGCAGCTCGAGACTGCACAGCACGTATAGATATAGATATAAGCTGGCATCTTGAAGACTTGTGTTCGTTAAATATATCAAAGGGACAGGGTCTTAGGAATATTCTTCACGTGGTGTGACAGTTGGCCTGCAAAACAAGGCAAATCAGGAATTACATAGAGATTTGCGGATAATATAATTAACCAATCTCATTAATATAGTTTAATGATTACTCTCAGTTTTCATGTTGTGACTAGAATGGGTTCCATGTCGTGGACAGGAAATTTGAGAACCGATCCGCCATATTCTTAATGAATTTATATATGAATATTATTTGTTATGAATTTTATATTTTATGTGCATAATGGGTTTTAATTGTTACTGTATAATGACGATTTATCATCAGAAAAGCTTAAAGCTTATGTTAATTAATTACTAATTAATACAGTAATACTTTATGTCTTCATTTTTTTTTAAAGATCCGTTTTAAAGTATCATGTGATTTTCTTAGACGTTAATTTTAACTATATGCTTTTCTTTGACGCTATATACTGCTGCGGCAAAATCTATAGTTCAACTTATCAATCGAGCAGACAATTTGATCAATTCAATTATTAATTGAGACATATTTGAATTTGTCTAAATGCGATCGGTACGATATGTATTTTAATTTTTTGATTTAATTTTTATTTTAATAGAAATAAAATTAATTCTTTAAGAATTTTGCAGAAGCATAAATTTTTTTTGGATCATTGCACCATTTACTAATAAAAATAATCATGGATGGAAAAATTATCTGCATTTGGAAATCAAATAAGACATTTGGCCAAAAAAAATAAAATAAGATAAATGAGAATAATCTATAAATGTCTATAATTTTCTTTTTGACGAGACACAAGAAATATATTCTACCGACAACATATATTGGGTGGTCAAAAGAAGGCTGCAATATAGATTAAATAAAAAGAGAGCAGGGATGCATGTTTGTGAGCAAATAAAGTGGATACTTCTTTTTATAAATCGTTAGAATTGCTTATATACAGCTTTCTAATTGTAATTCCATAATACGAGATAAGTATATGAGAAGAATTTTGTTTCGACTTATATAAAATTTGTTTATAAGCACTTAAATAAGTCAATTAACCCAAACAATACATAGAAAGTCAAAGGCCATTTCGCCAAAAAAAAAAAAAAGAAGCCAATTACACTTTTTACCCGTTTCGATTGCAACCTCTGCAAAAGGGCCCTTAATCGTCGTTGTTTTAGAATTTTTTTTTTGCTGAAATTGTTGTTTTAGAATTTTAAGCAAGCATAAATTATTTTTGGGTTATTTCATTATTTATTAAAAAAATATATTGACAGGGGCAGAGCAATTGTCTGTGAGAAATTTAGTCAAGAGTATCTATTTTTAAAAAATTTCTTCCCAAAGTGCAACTTATTTACAATGGGTGCAAATCTTCTTCAGTAATGTGTGGTTTATCTTTAATTATGTACAAAAAATTTTAAAACAAAAGTTATTTGCACATAATAAGATAAGTTGTACAATTAAAAAAAATTGCAACTACTGAAAATGAGTTGTACTCACTCAAGTTGATTAACCAATTTTCGTGAATATGGCAATGAAATAAAATAAATAAGAATATTTCAGCAAATCAATATTATATTTTTTTTTGACAGGCACAAATCAATATTATATATTGTACGTTACTCCCTCCGGTTCTAAATATAAGACTCATTCTGTAATGTAATTTACTACAAAATGAGTCTTATATTTAAGATCGGAGGAGTATTTGACAACTTTCTTGATGTCTTAATCTACACCTATAATATAATTTTTTTTGGGAGACCCATGGGGCATATTCTGCCCACAAATGTAAATTAATCTACAGAATATTGAATACAAAAAGTAAACCTCCTCCAATATAGGTTTATCCACAACATGCATTGAAAAATACTATGACAATTTTGTTATAAATACAAGATTATTGGAGAGGAGTAATCTTAAATATTTTCTTCCTATAATTCTTTTCCTTGCATTACATGGTCAAAACAAGGCAGCAATAAATTAAAGAACAGTAATGCATGTTTATTGGACAATACAAAGCAGACTTACTTTTATAAATATTAAATAATATGTTTAAAGAAAAACGGCAAAACTCACGCATAAGACACTAGTTATTAAGTATTGTGGAATTAATTAATTAATTCTACATTATTTCCACAAGTATGATTAGAATTTTTGGTCAAGAATAAAAAGTATGATTAGCTTAGCGTTTGAGGCTAGACAGGCTAGTATTTATTTGCATTTATATTTTATAAAAGATTAATATATATTTTGATTATTTAAATTTGTTTTTATTTTAATTTTGATCTTTTAAATTTTAAATAATAAGTTTTCGCCTTGAAATTTTGTTTATTGAAAATAGTAGTCCTTATAATCCAATAACAACTTAAAAAATTTTGCCTATTGAGTGATTAAAATCTATAATTTAAAATTTAAGAGACTAAAACTAAAATAAAAACAAACTTAAAAAAAATCAAAGATTATAGTATTAATTTTTTTTCATAAAATAGAAGCGATGACGGGGGACAACACCCTGAATAATTCTGCGACATGCTAACTGCGGAGCACGTGAACTGATGTGAATGGAATGAAATAATTATGTGACCCTTCAAATGGTCAAAGGTAATAATAATAATGATAATAAGACAAATTTGACTATAAATTACATTATATTATAAAAAACAAATAATTTAAAAATGTTAATTTGATTTCTTATATCCTATTTAATCATATATATATATATATATATATATAAATATTCGTTGGTCGGAACCTATCACAATCATGAAATCTCATTTTAATAATCAAATTAACCTCTAAGGCGCTAACTGGTCCTTAGTAGTAGTATTCGTGTTTGCCATATAACTCTTAATTAATTATGAAATCATCTATATCAGTGAATAAATAATTAAAATAATTAATTCACGTGATTCACATATAAATGCAGGTTAAAGCCAAAATGATACTTCTCTGGTTCTATTTATAAGATACTTCTAATATGTTTTACACAGATCAAGAAAAATCTTAAACTGCATTAATTCTTCATTAAAATATAACAACTTTTCAATTTCACCCTTATTTAATATATACACCTTTCAAAAAAAATTATCTACACTATAATAAATAAAAGATAATATAGTACATTCACTGTAAAAATTTAATAAAATAACGTATAAATAGGATCAAAAAAAATTTTTCTGCCCTGTAAATAGAATTAGAGGAGTATGATAACTAATTAATTTGGGATTGCAACTGGCCGGCTGTGGAATAATATAATTAAGAGGCTTCGATTACACGCTTTGTGCATAAATTAATGGGTTAGGCAGGATATGATCTTTTCCATCGATTTGTTTCGCATAATAAACCAAAATTAATAATATAATTACTTTTTTATTCCTCAGATCTGATTCACGACCAAACCCAGGGTTGTTTTGCTCAATCAAGGACAGCACATAATATGCACGTGATTCAATGTTATTATGGTAGTTATCTCTTTTCTTTTTGTGTTTATAGACGAAGACAGGAGTCATTTTGAGGCCAAAAAATAACGAGTTTTCATTTACAATTGCATAATAATCATCCTTGATGTTAATTTTTATGTAAACGCTGAAGCTAGCAAAAGTATAAGACTAATATTTTGATATAATTATATACTCCTCCGGTCCTTAATATAGGACCCAATTATTGAATTGGTTTTGATCCTAAATATAAGACCCATTTATCATATTTATCAATTTTCTCTAAATTACCCCTATGGATACTTCCTCAACCATAATTAAGTAGAAGAGGAAGAGGGGTATTAAGAAAGATGATTATGGTATTTTAGGAAAAATATGTCACATTTTCTATAAGTAACTAACTTACCTAACTTCCTTAATCTAATCAAATTAGTTAAATGGGTCTTATATTAAGGACCGGATGAGTATATTATTAACTAGATATTCATTACTACTGATAATTACAATCTATATAAACACAAGTGAACACCTAAAATATCGAGTATATTATAGATATATGTCTATATATATATATATATATATATATATATATAACAACTAACAAGTGAACAATCCTGCTGTATGATTTCTTTTCTTATGCAGTATTATTCGATCATGCAAACTCAAATCCAAAGTTGCGAGTTTAAATTAAAATCAAGTTGCCAAGTGCGGCTAATTAAGCGGAACATGACAACAAAATATATCAAGGAAAAAATATATATAATTTTCATTTTGTTTATTTAGTAATAATAAATATGATATTAAATTAACTTTCTGATTATTATTAGAGATCATAAATATTGATAGATAGATATCGTTGGCAAAAATATATGGATCCTCTCCACTTTTTTTTCTCCCTTCACTTTTCATCCACTTCTCATTTCAATATTTAAAATTTGAACGGTCTAAATTTTATATTTTATAAAATTAATAATAATATGTCAATTATTAAAAAAGAGCAAATAAAATTAAACTACTAAGCATTAAGTCATGATGATCTGAAAGAGGAGTAATAAAAAAAAATATTTCATAAGATATGAAATCTAGACTGTTTGAAATCTAATAATTGAAATGTGGAGTAAATAAAAGTGAAGGGGCAGAAAAGTGGGGTGAGACCAGATACCTTCCGACATATCTGGCAATAATTCAACGAACTACTGATTGCATTTTTTACACATACCAAAAAAATAATTGAGCTAAAAAACCATTTTTCCACACATTTTGCATGGGCGGGCTGGCTGTGGAAAGATGGATAAGATCTCATCATCTCAATGCCATGCTTGTTCGGATTTTGTCCACAAATTTTTTTGGGTAAATTTTTTCCCCACAATTTGATGTTACTGATGGACAATTCATAATGGACGTCCGAGTTTTTCAATTAAATAAGAGCGTATAAAAATATGGCTATTATTTTAAATGCAAATACATATATATGTATATGTAGATGTAAATAATATAAAAAAATGCCTTGTAGTTTTGCATCAGATACCAGTTTTTTTTAGGGAAAAAAATGATGTAGCTCCAACAGCAACACTAGCTGTTAAGTTTAGATGAGGTCTCAACTTTGAACCCGACATTCACATGTTTGTGTGAGTGCACGCATTTAGTTGTATTATTAAAAAAATATTTCAGTCAGGTGTTGCCAAAAATATTAATGTAAGCACATCTTCATTAATTATCTGATCGATTACAATTACTCCCTTCATTTAAAATAATAATATACGATTTTTAACTAATGTACACATCTAATAAATCAGTTAGTGTGATTAAGAAAACACATATCCTTTCTCTATTTAATACTACCTCCTGCCCTTAATATAAGACCCCATTTGACTTTTTGTTTGGTCCTAATTATAAGACCCCAATCCATTTTGTCTCTCATATTTATGTATTTTTTTCCAAGATAGTCCTTCTAATAATGATAGTTCTAGCCAATACACTTAATTAGCAAGGATATTTTAGGAAAGACAACACTTATTTAGGACAAATAACTAACTTAACTTACTTCCTTAATCTCTTCAAATTAGTCAACCGGCTCTTATAATTAGGACCAGAGGTAGTACATAATCAAGCGTATTGATTAGAACTCTTATTATTAAAAGGGTTACTTTGGAAAAAAATGTATAAATATGAGAGACAAAGTGGATTGGGATTTTTAGGACCAAAATAAAAGTCAAATAGGGTCTTATATTAAGGATCGGAGGTAGTATCAGTTAACGTAGGGTTTTTTAACATATACTTTTTACTTACATAGCTATTGGCATTGAGAGTAATTCTATGAAAAATTAAAATATTTCTTAAATTTTAAAATTCTAAATTAGTTCTGTGTACTACATTTTAATTGCAATTGATTAGATGTAAAAGATAAATGGTAACACTTTTTTTTTTTATATAGTTATTCTTTATTAGAGATTTTAAAATTCAAGAGATATTTTTCTGAGATATTTGTAGAAAAAGGCGTTAACATAATGTTAAAGCTGTGTCCAACAAACTTGAGGTTTGGAAGCTCCAAGCAGAAAGGCCAAACATATAAATATGTGAAGTCCGTTCAACATTGACGCGCTAAGCAGCATATATCACAACACAAACAGAGAATAAGGACCAGAAATTCCGAAATGAAACCACATCCGAAATGAAACCACACATATCTCATCTTTTTTACTTTTTGTGGCTCTTCGTATTACCATTTATTTGGTTGGCTCTTCTATGGTTAGCCTTATCTGCAAAACCACCCATGAAACCACACCTTGCATGGTTTTAATTTGTACTATAACTCTTTTACACACACACACATATATAGAGGATATAAATATACAAAGGAATTTTATGAATTTGTTGTTAAAGTTGGTCTCCATGTAGTGAGATATCGGTAGTTAGAGGTAGAACATTATTGTGTTTAGAAATCAAATGGCTGTATAGATTGAGATGACATGAAATTGATGGATTTAATTTCTGTTATGAATTTAATTTATGCGTATAATCTTAAATGTTTTAGATATAATAAGTTTCTACTTGAACTTTTTTTCGAAAGAACCAAAAAAAACCAATATTTAAATGGGTTATAAAGTGCAAATCTACCATAAAGCTTTTATGAGTACAATAATTTACATGACCATTTTGAAATGAAACAAAAATGTCATGTCTCGATGTCTGTTGTTTTAGCTTCATTTCGGAATATTCATGTCTAGTCTTTTGCATTCATCGGTAACTTTATTGTGTCATAGGTGCATGAAAAGAATAGTAATTTTACATTTTAACCCAATTTCTTAAATTTATAATTCTCTTCTAAAACGGTAAAACCTCTGGTGCGGTCTGATCTTTTTGAAATAAACAAGTGTATTAAAAAAGCAAAAACTGTTTTTAATGCTTGTTAAAATTAACGTATGACTTATATTTTTTAAATTGTATGTATATATTACTCAGTTAAATATTTAAAAGATACATACATTAAATTCATTAGCTTCATGTGGATGTGTGTATAATAATATCGTAAGTTTTTGTAATAATTATACTGCTTATCTCTTAATTAGGCCTAAAAATTGAGTTAAAAAATTATTAAGAGAACACATAATTGTCTCTCAGACACACGCACAACACAGAATTTTACGATTAAACCTCATATCACCTCGTAAAAATTTATTCAATATGACATATTATAAGAGGAACATCCAAAAAAAAAAACCTTAAATTTTAAAATTTTAAGTCAATATTGATTACTATATTCGTAAAAGAAATACCTACACTTAAAAACAAATTACAACAAATTTTTTTTAATTTAAAATTTTAAAAAGCAATCTTTTTTTTAAATTTTCCTGTTATAAGAGTCCTTTTACGAAAATAACCACATGATCAAGATCATCATAGTTCATAGAGATGGAGGCTTTTATTATTTCTTACGTACCGAATGAGACAGTTCACAGTTGACACAGATCAATTTGGAATAATACATTTTATTTTGGAAGAGACAAAAGGACAAGCAGATAGGGGACAGGAGTCTCTTGGCTACTGATAGAAAGAGTCACTCGCTACAACTCCTTTCTCTCTCCGGCGGAGTACTCCAAACTGATGTGTGGACTCCGATTGATCTCATAACGACGCCGGCTCTCAACTAATGTAATAGAGCGGGTCGGGTAACTTGAAGGTCCGTCTGCCCGTATAACTTCCCAGAATGTCACTCCACTGGTCTCCCGTGTTTCCCACGATTCTGTACCCACTCTTCACCAGCTTCTTCCTCTCCGCCGATTTGTACGCCACCGCCGTCGATCCCGAGTACTCCGTCGTGTTCCTGTAATTATTAACCCCAAACAATCAGAACACCATAATGACTCACACACAACACAACTCAAACTACATACCCACACATATAAATTATCTTTCTTGTGGAGGAATTGTTAAGCGAAGTATGGTTTATAAGCTTAAGAATCTCTCCACCCAATAGGTTAGTCTTTAAGTGGGAGGACCTTATGACCTCATAAAGGCTACAAACTAAGGCATTGCAGGAGGCCGAAAAATACCATTATGTGGGGTTTTGATAAACTAGTTTTTTAGGATTGAGATTTTACTTAGATTTGTGTCCATAACAGATAGAGAGAGAGAGAGATTTAAGTAAGAATATTAATGATTATTTACTTGAGGATCAACTTGTGCCAGGTGTGATAGCCAACTTTCTTGAGGTTTGAAGCAGTAACTTCGGTCTGAGTGGTGGGTCTTCCAGTAAGGAACACAATCTTGATGCCCAGATTGATCAACTTGTTGTAGAGTTTCTGCGTTTCTGGTAATGCCAGTGCTTCTCCTTTCTCCACCCACGCGTTGAACTTCGTCGAGTTGTATGGCTCCACGCTTCACAAATTTATAAAGAAATTAAATCAGTATGGCCAGTGAATCTAAAAGTACGGTAGTACAGCATCCATCCATGAAGAAATGGAGATCAGAAGAAGATATATATATATACCCGAATCCGTTTTGAGCGTAGTAGGGAAGATTGGAGAGGGTAGTCTCGTCAATGTCAAAGATCCAGATGTTTCTGCCATCTTTAGGGAGAGCTAGAGAGCGAACGTAGAAGTAAGCTTCTCTGTTAACTGCTTTGGAGTCGTCTCTGTAGTGTTGACCCAGCATGTAGTTACCGACGTAGTTTTCGCACTCCGCCGGCACCGTTTTCCACTCAATGATGTTGTGGGCTTCCACCGCCAGCCTCCAGCTCGCGCAGGTTATGCCCTGCACGGTGGCGCCTTCAGCGCCGGACCCGGGTTTCAGCCGGAGAGGGAAGATTTGGTAAGGTTCTTCGTCTGCGCCATGGCTTGTTGCTGCAATAATCGAGGCCACAAGCAGAAAAGCCACGAGGGTTTTCATCAGCCTTAAGCTTAGAAAGCTCAGAAAGAAGAGAGGAGGAAGATTTTGGATGCCGAAACTCGCCTGGGTTTGCTCTCTTTAAATAGACTTCATCTGTGGGGAGATTAATTTTGATTCATTTGGATTTTTCTTTTCGTAGCGGTACTGTGGTACAGTATTAAGACAAGCACACTTCAATCATGTAGGGGTTAAAAAAGCAAGCCATGGATTCCCCTTTTTTAGCGTATAGACTCCCCCCCCCCCCAGTATAATATTAAATACAATATTTATTGGACAACGTGTGTGTATATATATATATATATCTATGTATAAATACTTTTCCGGTTCTTAATATAAAACCTATTAACTAATTTGATAAGATTAAAAAAATTAGGTAAGTTAATTAATTATAAGAATTGTGACACATTTTTCCTAAAATACCATAATCATCTTTTTTAATATCCTATATTCTTTTTCTACTTGATTATGGTTGAAAGAGTATCCATAAGGGTAATTTAAAGAAAATTGATAAATATGAAAAATTGATCTTATAATATTTAAAATAAAAAATAACTCAACAATTAAGTCTTATATTAAGTAGCGGATGAGTATTAAAATTTGAGTAATACTATTAGTTGCATGTTGTTCATGAGTTGCTATCCTATTATCATCAATATTATCTACTACTCCCTCCGTTCCTTATTATAAGAGACATTTGATGCTTATGACATGTTTCAATATATAAGAGACACTTACAAGTTGTCTCTACTTTTTTGTGTTGATTTACTATTTTACCCATATTTATTATCTCCAACTCACACTCTCTCTCCCTCCCACTTCTCTTTCTTTTAATAATTTAATTGTTCTCTCTCATGCTCTCTCTCCTTATTAATGAGGGCATTTTTGGGAAAAAATTATACTTTTTACACATTAATTGTTCTTAACTAATTTTAACTGTTTTTTTGATCAACATACTTCGGTTATTTGTCTCTTATAATAAGGAACGGAGGGAGTACTATTTATTACGTAAAACTACATGTCTTTTTAATTTTTATTCTACAAGATTCAGATAACAAAAAAAAATTCTACAAGATAGGTGATATGATGATTTAAAATTTTTTAATAACTTATATTATCTTTGATTGTCCACTACACAACTCCACACGAGAAGAGTTAAACAGAAATTAAAATATTTCAAAATTAAGGCAAAGTGCCCATTTAGATTTTTTTTTATCCCTCATAAATTTTGATTTTGATCTTTATAATTAGGGAAAATTAGCGATAAATCTCCATTTGAAAATCTATTTGGAAATTGGTCCCCAAAAAGTTACGAGAGGCTAAGATGCTTTAGTGTAAATAAGTATGATAAGAGAAAAAGACCAAAATACCCTTAGACTCTAATGAAAGACCAGGTGCACATACACTAAATTTAATTACGCATGAAGAAGATATCTTGCATGTTATAAAAGTTTAATTGCACCTAATACAAGTTTTACATAATGAAATATGGATTGCACCTATTAGATGTTGACTTGCATGGAAGGAAAATACAGTTGCACCTGCTGTAAGTGCACATAACGTACGTATGTTTAATGGAAGATCAATTGTATTTAGACGCATAATTCATTTGTACTTAAGGATGACACATTAGACGTTATTGGAGTTCAACTACACCTAACATAAGTGCATTTAATGAAAGACCAATTGCATCTAAACAAAATTTATCTGCACTTAAGAATGACACATTGCATGTTATTGGTGTTCAGTCTCGTGGGTGTGCACTCTTCAAACTGCCTTGTCCTGATTTTTCTCGTCAACTTCTTTTTTTGGGAAAAAAAAAGGTTTTAGTCAAGGTAACATGGTAATTTCATCTGGATTTTTTTATCTACATTTAAGGACCTCAAGCTCGGAGGAATTTTCAGGCACCAGTTCCTAAATAAATTTTCAAATGGGTACCTAATTTTTCCTCATAATTAATAGCGTTAATTTTTATAAAATTGTAAGAAAGAAATATTAAGAACATACAGAAAAACCACAATTTAAAATTATAATAACTAATAATAATATGGGAGAATCACAAATAAAGACCTTCCAATATGTAAAATGACAGATAGGTCACCTGAATAAGTGAAATTACTCACAAGGACCGGGTCTCAAATTGCCATTATGAAATCATGATCAAATTACCAAAATACCCATCTTTATTTTTTTTAAAAAAAAAAAAGAAAGCCACTGCCTCACCGGAATCCGGCCGCCGGTGGCCGCTTTCGGCCACTGCCGGCTTTTTTTTTTTGCAACTGTTTTTTTTTAAATAGTGGGGGAAGTGAGGTTGGGGGGATTTGATCCCCCAACCTAATGCTTTCCAAAATAAAGAATGACCATTAAGCCAGCAAATTTTTATTAACATTATAATGCAAAAAAAATATATAAGTTAACTCATTTACTCTTGTTCCAGGTGATAACAACAATACATTTGGAAATAACAAGTTTTGATTATAAAATAACAAGTCTGGGATTAAAATTTAACAACACGTTTTTTTTATAATAACACACTTTGTTTTAGGTGATAACAACAATACATTTGGAAATAACAAGTTCTGATTGTAAAATAACATGTATGGAATGAAAATTTAACAATATGTTTTTTTATAACAACAAATTTTGTTGCAGGTAATAACAACAATACATTTGGAAATAACAAGTTCTGATTATAAAATCACAAGTCTGGGAGTAAAATTTAACAACAAGTTTTTTTTATAACAACACACTTTGTTTCAGGTGATAACAACAATACATTTGGAAATAACAAGTTCTGATTGTAAAATAACACGTCTGGAATGAAAATTTAACAATATGTTTTTTTTATAACAACAAATTTTGTTGCAGGTAATAACAATAATATATTTGAAAATAAAAAGTTCTGATTATAAAATAATAAGTCTGGGATTAAAATTTAACAACACGTTTTTTTTATAACAACACACTTTGTTTCAAGTGATAACAACAATACATTTGAAAATAACAAGTTCTGATTATAAAATAACAAGTCTTAGATTAAAATTTAACAACACGTTGTTTTATAACAACACACTTTGTTTCAAGTAATAACAACAATACATTTAAAAATAACAAGTTCTCATTATAAAATAACAAATTTGGGATTAAAATTTAACAACACGTTTTTTTTATAACAATTAATTATTTTATACTTTTAAAAAATAAATTATTTATAACTTATAAAAAATATTTTTAATATATTTATTTCTCTAAAAAAATACTTTTTAATCTATATATCTATACAACTCATTATAAATCAAACTACTTCTTATAAATTATAAAGTATTTATAATTAAATATTTTTAATCTATAAATCATAGTATAAATTTTATATTATTTCATTCTTTAAATATTAAAATTTATTATTAAGTATTTAAATATTGTAGTATTATTTATTATTTCATTCTTTAAATATTAAAAATAGTTTTTATATTTAAAGAATAAAATAGTATTTTTAATTATAAATTAGAGATAAATTTCATTTATAAATTTAAGCAGTCAAAAAGTATTTTTAATCCACAATAAATTGTGCTATTTATAATTTATAAAAAGTAGTTTGATTTATAATGAGTTGTATAGATATATAGATTAAAAAAAATTTTAAAAAAATAAAAAAGTGTGTTGCCATTTTTCCTCAATTTTATTTATAAATTTAAACAATAAAAAAGTATTTTTAATCTATAATAAATTATACTTCAAGTTCTGATTATAAATTGGAGATAAAAATTATTTTTTTAGCAAATTAATAGATTACAAGTACTTTTTATAAGTTATAAATAATTTATTTTCCAAAAGTATAAAATAATTAATTGTTATAAAAAAAGGTGCTGTTAAATTTTAATTCCAGACTTGTTATTTTATAATTAGAATTTGTTATTTCTAGAGCCGGGAATCAGGGCCGGCCCTTCAGGGCTGGCGGGCTTAAAAGGGCCGGCCCTCCAGGGCTGAAATTTTAAAAATACCCCAATTTGCTAGGCCCGGCCCTTAAATTACAGGGCCAGGGCGGGCCCGCGGGCTTTTGGCCCGTTTAAGAAAAAATACTATTTTTTATATTTATCATATTTTTTATAAAAATATAAAAATAAACCAATAATTTTGCAATCTAACTATTATTTTACTTTAATGTGAGAAACATTGTTGTTGAAACTCATGAATTTCTAATTCAAATTATATCATGAATTTCTAATTCAAATTATAGAATCACAAGTTATATAAGTATAAAAATATTCTATTATCAAATATATATATATAGTTTAAAAATATCAACGCATATAATATAAATCAAATCATTATTAAAGTCCAAATTAACCCATTTTTTAAAAATTTAATTGGATAAATTATTGTCTAAAACTAAATTTAATTTTAAAATGATAATAATAACTAAATATTTGAAATATTATTAACAATGTAAAAAATTAATAACATTAATATTATATAAAAAAATTTAAAAAATAAAAAAAAATATAAAAGGGCTTAAAAGGGCCGGCCCTTTTAAGCCCTCGACCGTCTATGGCCAGCCCTCCAGGGCTTATTTCTCATTTTAAGAGAAAAATATCAAGCCCGGCCCTCATAATTTCAGGGCCTAAAAGGGCCGGCCCGACGGGTTCGGCCCGTTTTCCCGGCTCTAGTTATTTCCAAATGTATTGTTATTATCACCTGAAACAAAGTGTGTTGTTATAAAAAAACGTGTTGTTAAATTTTAATCCCATACTTGTTATTTTATAATCAGAACTTGTTATTTCCAAATGTATTGTTGTTATCACCTAGAACAAAAGTAAATGAGTTAACTTATATTTTTTTTTTGCATTATAATGTTAATAAAAATTTACTGGCTCAATGGTTATTCCTTATTTTGAAAAGCATTAGGTTGGGGGATCAAATCCCCCCAACCTCACTTCCCCCACTATTTAAAAAAAAAACAGTTGCAAAAAAAAAGGAAGGCTGCCGGCATCGGAGCTCCAGAGCCGGAGGCTGAATTCCGGTGAGGCAGTGGCTTTCTTTTTAAAAAAAAAAATTAAAGAGGGGTATT